AATATCAATCAATTAATCAACTAAATATTTATTAATTAATCAATCAATGAAATATGTTATGATTTTTTGACAATCTTTTTCTAATTAACTAATGTAAATCAAATAATTATAAAAATGAATGAAATCAATTAATAACAAATCATTTCACATTCCTTTCAATTTTCTTTTCAAAACAAAAAACAAAAAAAAAAAAAAAAAAAAAAAACATTAAATTCAAGTTTTAACAAACATTTTCTCCTTCTTTTTTTTTTTTTTTTTTTTTTTTTTTTTAAATCTAAATTAATTAATTAATCTTTAAATTGAAAAAATTTTCTGTTTTTCTTTTCTTTCTTTTTTAATTTCAGTAAATTAATCAATTCACTGGATTAAAATTTCCATTTCAATCAAATATATATTATCACTTAGAGTATCAAATTCATATAAAATTTTAGAAGTAAAATTTTTTAAAATAAGTTAAAATAGGCCCTATTAGGCCCTTTTTTTTTCTCTCTCTCTTTTATACATTTCCTTTTATGCATTTTTCTCCTTTTCTCTCATCTTATCCATTTCAAAAATTTATTCTCATCGTATCTTCCATCCAATCCAATCTAATCCATTTATTTCATCGATTTCCAGTTTGGCACATTTAAAAAAGACTGCTGGCCTTCCGGATTTCTTTCACTTTCTCTCTCTTTCCCTCTCTCCCTCCCTCTCTCTCTCTCTCTTTCCCTTTCTTTTGTCATATTTCCTTCTTCAATATATAGTCGTCATGTTTATGACAAAGATCTCACAATTTCCGATTGCTAACTTTTCTAATCTAAGGGCCTACTAGGCTCTTATTCCTCTCATCCTTAATTTCCTTTCCTTTCCTTTCCTTTTTTTTTGAAAGCCATTACATTTATATTATTTATGGATTAATTTTTTATGTTTTTCATTTTTTTTTTTGCTTTTTTTTCTTCCTTTCTTAATTTTGTAATAAAAATATAAAATCAAAAGTTACGGCCAAAAATTAAGAGAATAAATAAAGTTAAAGTCAAGAATTTGTTGTCGAGAATTGAAGTATAATAAAATGCTTTCAAGCATGGATAGTTTTTTTTTATGGTTTTAAAAGAAAGACTAAAAGATAGAAAATAATTTATCCATCGTTTTCGTTCAAAATGAACTAATTCATCTTTTTCTGATTAAGAGTTAAGGTGTAAAATTTGAAACTAATTAAAATTTACTTTAGTTTACTATATTTATTTTTTATTAAATTACAAAATGTTTGATTAGCAAACATTTTATTATATTCCTGAATGATAATCAGAAATGGTCATTACAACCAGCTAACATATAATTTTAGCTGTAAACTCTTCTGATTTATCCAAAATTTCCGGATCCGGATGATTAATCACATACACTAATTCATACTATTACCTATCATATCGCCGTAAAGCTCCATTCGGCCTAAGCTTCATTTTATCCAAGTGTCTAACTATCCAGTAATTTAATAAAAAACTTACACTAACCGGTTTGTTATTTCTGAAACATACCGGAATATTAGGATGATGCATAGAATATTATTGCACGAAAAAACTGCAAAAAATTGATTTTGTTTTTTATTAGTAGTTGTGAGTGAGGGAATGATAGAATGAGTTGTTGAAGGAGGTAGTAGAATGTGAAACAATTGTTGCAGTGATATCCTTATAAGGATGCGAAAAGATGTTGACGAGATTGTCAGAAGTTATCGAGATAGTAGGGAATGTTGAAGAGAGAAGAGAGATATACTAGAAACTGGAAGACAGTGCAGTGAAGAGTTGAAATTCACACTTTGACAACATAAAACAGAGTTACAAATTGTATTCTTCGATTCATTTTTTCATTTCCAATTTTTTTTTTCATGAATTCATTTCTGAATTAGTTCGGTAATTGTAAAAGTCCGAAGATATTTCGAAAATCTGAAGATCCCAACGGAATTTCCGACAAAAACCTAGACTTCAATCCCACTAATCAATTAAAATAAAAATGAAAGTTTGAACAGCAAAAGGTTCTTGCCCGAGTTGCGGTGATTTGTGTATGCCGATGGGTATGACATGGGTACGGGTAGATATGGTATGGGTTACGGATAGTTATGGTATGGCTTACGGGCAGGTATGGTGGGGTTACGGATAGGTATGGTATAGGTTGCTGTGCGGGTTACGAGTAGGTATAATGTGTGTGGGTGCGTTATGGATAGGTATAGCATGGGTTACGGCTGGAGTATGATATGGATTACGGGTGGGTATGGTTATGGGTTACCAGTAAGATTTGCATTTCTTTTTTCATTTGCTACCTTTTTTTTTTTTTTCAGTTCAATAAATGAACAAATGAACGGATTTATGTGGTAGGCTGTGATGAATGAGTATGGAAACTACATGATTATTTTGATTTTGCTTTAATTTACATAATTTTTAAGCTAACTTTATTGTTTCACATCAAGTATTATTTATTTTATTTTTATTTACTGTAATGTTTTATCGATCTTAAATTTTCTAAACATTTGTTTCTCTTTTATTGTTTTTTTTTTTTTTTTTTTTTTGTTGTCTTTCTTTTTTTTTACTACTTTGTTGAAATTTTACTGCGTTATGCTTTCCGTATCTTTAATTGTTTATAAAATTTTTACATACGAGGTAAAATATTCGATTTCGACGTTTTTTTTAAATTATTTCATATGTTACTTTTAATTTTATTAATAATTACCTTGTATGCATATTTTCATGTTATTTATTTTCAGGTTACTGCAGATTTTGAAAAAATTTTCCATCATTATTATTTTTTACTTCATTATAATAACACTGAACTAAATAAACAAACATGCAAACCATCGAGAAAGCATTACATCAACCAATGCCATTTACAACAGGTGGACAAACAATTACCGATCGACTTACGGCTGCAAAACATTCCTTAGCCGGTAGTCAATTAGGTAAAACAATTTGTAAAGCTACAACCGAAGAATTAATGGCACCAAAAAGGAAACATTTGGACTGTAAGTTCTTTGCACTACATTACAATGTATCGGATTTAAGCTAATTTAAAAGAGAAATTAGAACTTAACTGAAAATGAAATTAGAATTTTGATGCGAATTTTGATAGCTGTAATGTGAGAGAATTAGTATTAATGTAAGCATAACTTGTTCAAATCATTTAAATCCATCACTTTTAACATCAAAATGATAACTAAGTAATTTTTGAAATGTATCAATATGAAGGCACAAATAATTTGACTTAAGAAGCATTTGTTATCCTATACTAGTTTAACGAATGGTTCCTAGCTTTTCGAAAGATTTAATTTTTTTGAAATAATGAAATTTGATCGTTTCATAGATGTATCGAGTAACTGCTGAAGAAATGATTGGATAATCCTTAATAATCTAATGCAAAAAAGAGTTAAAAGATTGTTCTAAAATTTTATTATATAAAAAAAATGAGCTATTGATTGCTTATTGCAGATTTATTACATTGTACGCAGGAGCCAAATGTTTCCATCCCATCAATGGCAAATTTGTTGATTGAACGAACCCAAAATCCCAATTGGACAGTTGTTTATAAAGCTCTTATCACTATTCATAACATAATGTGTTATGGAAATGAAGTAATTCTTTTATGCTTCTAGCCGGTTTAACCAGTTTCATTTTTAAACAATAGGCAGGAATTTTTGAACACAGAATTATTATGATTTTTTCTTTTGACTAATTAAATTGCCAGTTTCAATTATAAAATGCATAAATTCCTACTCCATTTCCAAGATATGTGTTAATGTTTTTAATTTTAAGACATACGCATACGTGAAATGTAGTATTATTGGTATTTTATTACTTACTTTTGAAACATACTTAAAATCTAATGGTGGTCTCGATTATCTATTTTTGATTCATATCAATTACTTTTAGTGTACCAAATTCTTTTCAATCTTTTCCAGCGATTTTCGCAGTATCTTGCATCCTGTAATACGACATTCAATCTGGGCAGTTTTTTGGACAAGAATTCCGCTCAAGGTAGGTATTATTAGAGATGAGTATGTGCCGACGCTAATATTCCGATCAGCAGAAATGGATGAAATGAAACGGTATATGTTGATGAACAGTGTAAAAAAAATCCCCTTATCATCATTTGAGAAGCTTGATTTCTTTTTGTTGTTGTGTTCAACAAAATTTTAGATTTTAATATCTCGATTAAAATTTTTTGGTTTTTCAATCCTAATTTTGCAAATATATGTGAATCTAGTTGAGTTGCATAACTTTCTACATGAAAATGTTCTGTTTTTAAGTGATTTTTCTTTTCTCATACTATACCTCTTTATCAGCAGATATTAATTCTAATTTCGCAAACATATTTGAATTTAGTTGATTTTTGACTAATTTTTATTTTAATGTTCCTTCTCTGTAGCTCTCTTATCTCTCTTTCCGATTAAACAAAAGATTTCATGTATTGAATTTAAAGTTAAAAAATACGTCAGGTCATTCACCCATGGATTATACGCGTTCGTCAACGAAACATTGGGCATCCCTGGATTCGGTTCTTGTTGGTAAATGAATCATCCATAAATTTATCTTCTTTTTTTTTTGTTTTGGACTGACACTACCTCTAATCTAATCATGCACGGGCAGATATATTTCGGGCGTATTTTTTTTTTACAATTTTTTTTAGCACAATGTTTTGATACAATTTTTCTTTGATAAAGCTTTCCAATATTTTTAACATATCAATACTTTTCCTTTTATCATCTTGCTCTTACACTGGGCCATCACTTTTTTATTTATCTGTAATTTTCCAACTAATTCTATGTGATATTTATTAGAAAAATGAGACATATCTAGATTAAATAGGATGATATGGGACGGCTGATATTATAAATTTATTATGGGTGATTAGCTCAGACTTCTTTATTTGACAGACGCATTGCTATTAGTAATTGAGAAATTGTTGTAGTTTATTATGGGAAAAATCAATTTGTAAAGCTAAAGATAATATGAAAATTAATTTCGAATTAGGATGAAACTGAATTATCTTGTTCGGATTATTAAGGAGAGCAAATGTTTTAAGGATAATCTGCTGTTCTTAATATTCTGAACAGTAATGCAAGTAAGCAACTCCTTTTTCCAATTACAATAAAAATTACTTAATTGTTAATAATTCTGAAAGATCTGATTATTATAGATAATAATGACGACAATTAGAGTTAATCATTTTAAAGTAGATAAGTTTAAGAATATTTTTGACTTAAAAGTATATTTTGGAAACTTCATTCTTTATCGCTTGGAAATAATTTCATAAATCATACAAGTTCACAATATTCTAAAGGTTTCATTCCTTACAAGTAAAGAGGGACAACAAAATAATTTGAATTTCAAAATATTATTTCTTGGTTACAGATAATTTGATGTATGGTCTAACTGTTTTTAACCTTTGAACAGAAATTAACTTTCTGTATTGCTTCAATTTAATCCTGCTTACGTTGTTTAAATAAGTAGTGAAATTCCATTGCAGGTTATGATATGTCGCAACACGTTCGACGTTATGGGAAATATATCAGTGAAAAGATCTACACGTATCGCTTATGCGCTTTCGATTTTTGCAAAGTAAAACGTGGTCGTGAAGATGGTCTTCTACGAACGATGAATGCAGATAAGGTATATAATGTTTATTGTTGAGCTAAAGTGAGGAGAATTTAAGAGATGTCAATTGATTTGAATGAATTGAGCTGAGATCAAATAGTTAACAGAAATGTAAATCAAGATTTAAAATTTTTTTTAGATTCTAAAAAATTTTTATCTAATATTTGCATAATCTGCTGGTCTAATATCTGCTGGTTTTAAGAAATCACATCATTTCCATTGTTTTAGTTATTGAAAACATTACCAATTTTGCAAAATCAGATCGATGCTCTTCTCGAATTCCAAGTAAATTTTATTTATTTATTTTTGATCTGTTTTTCGAGACAGAATTTATTCCACATTTCTCATTTTTTGCTGTACGAGTAATAATAGCTTTTTGTAAGATATAAGATTGACAAATTATATCCTGTGTTAATTGAACACTTTTTGTTTTTGGCTAACTTCTAAATTGACACATTAAAATAACTTTTTAATTTTCCGACTGTTAATATCCGTTTATTATTACTGATATGTTATCATTTATAACAGAAAAGCTTATTTTTGAATGGTAATGCATGAATTATTAATTCAGCAAAATGGTGCAAATAATGAAATTATTTGAATAATTAATATTTGATTGAGTAAATTTAATACGTAACCGATTTACTTAACTATTGCATTTCTGAGAAATTTTTTGTGCGTTTTTCATATATTATACCTTTTACTTATTTGTCTATTCTGAGTTATTCATAATGATTGAAAAAGAGTAAGTATGAGAATAGTATGTAATAAATATTTTACTTAAGAGGTTTTTCATTATGTTAATACAAAAAAAAAATTTTTTTTTTTTCGAATACGTTATTTGGAATTTATTGTTATCGTTAGAAATTTAAGTCACATGCTTAATTTAATAAGAAATTTTATTTCAGGTAACTTCAGCCGAATTAAATAATGGCGTCATCAATTGTTCTTTCATTCTTCTCTTTCGTGATCTCATTCGCTTATTTGCGTGTTATAATGATGGTGTCATTAATTTGCTTGAAAAATATTTCGATATGAATAAGAAGCAATGTCGTGATGCGCTGGATGCCTATAAATCATTTCTGGTAATATTAATTGATTTCCTTTTTTAAAGTGGTTCTAAATTGTAGAAGCAGTGAGATTGCTTTGTTAATTTTATTTGAAGTATTAATTTATGTATCACTGCTTAGCTGTTAAGCTGTTTTTATAAGATTAATTGAAATATTATGACTGTTAGTATTCTAGTAAGCTATTGGATGTTTTATGTACTTTCAGCAGAAAATAATATGTTGTATTGAATGCTTCAATGAAAATGCTTTATTAATTTTTCACACATTTTTTTTTTCATTTGAAAGCATAGTACATTTTTTCTTTAGTAAGAAACATCGACGTAGTCATAATTTAGAAGTTTTCTCGAAGAAAAAGCTATATAGTAGTTACTTTTCAGCTAAGGTTGGACAAAGTGGCAAGCTTCTTAAAGGTAGCGGAATCTGTGGGTATTGATCGGGCTGAAATACCGGATTTGACACGAGCACCGGCTTCATTATTGGAAGCATTAGAAGCACATCTAGTTTATTTGGAAGGTGGTAGAGCACCTCCAACTGTTCATCATGTATATTTTTCTTTTATTTATTTATTTATTTTTTATTATCTCATGGTTCTACTATACATTTGTCTATTTATTATATATTTTGATCTTCTTAGTGAGGAAAATAAGTTTATACGTTTATATACTCGAGTACTATGATCAAATTTTTCGACATCTTTGTTCCTATGTTGTTTTAAACATTATGAAAAAAGAAAAAAAAATTGTTGGGCACCCTAATCTAATGCACTAATAAATTGTAAAATTCATAAGTTTAGTGCATTCATAAGCTCACTCTTTTTTTCCAGGAACAATTTAATGCAGCAATGGCACAATCTGCACCATTATTTTCTTCCGCACAAACGGGAATTATTGATGATTCAGCAAAGCAAAAATATTTAGAAGAGGAAAAGGAACGATTACGGTTATTTGAGGTTTCTTCATCGATTCTTTAAAAACTATCTTATTCTTTTCAATTTCTCTTTATCTTATAGAAGCCTTGCAAATCAGTAATAGTTTATCCAACTACAATTATATTTTTATACGTCTTTCCAGATGGTTAGGTGATCGTATTTGTGTTTCTAGTTCTAACTAATAAATTGACATAGAAGTAGTCGAGATAGAATTCGCTTTTGAGAATTTTCGTAATTTGGATGTTGCCTTCTGGAATTTATTGATTTTATTTCTGTTGATCAGATATTACAAGACTTTATAATACTATTCGGGGTTTATTATCTTTGAAACAATTTGTTCTTAATTCATAAGCAAGCTTATTACACAGAGTTAAGGCTGTCATATAATCATAAAAAAAATAAAAAAATTCACTGGAATCAAATTTTTTTGCAACTAAATCGTTTTATTGAAATCAAATCTGTTTTTTTCTTCCTGTAGGAGCAGCGAAAAAGACAAGCAGTAGCGGCTGGTTCATCCGGAATTGATGTAGGAGGACATTCGTTCAATCCATTCGCTGCAGCTCAATCATCAGGAAGCAATGCAGGTCGATCTACGAAGCCAAGTGATGATCTTCTAACCCTTTTTGATCCTATGCCAGCAGGTGGTGGAATTACAGCTCCTTCAGGTTATGGAGCTGCTGCTCCAGTTAATGCTACACCGCAGCCAATGGCATTGGATCCAACAAATCCGTTCGCTCAAAATGTTTTCCAACAGCAATCGGCTACAGTTATGTCGACTAATTCTGCTCCTGGTTTGTGTTAAGAAGAATGCTTTTGAAATTTTCCTTTCAAAAACTTTCTTCTATGACAAGAACTATTGGGAGAAATTCAGAAACTTCTGAAATTGTATTAGTATTAACATGCTTTTATTAATATTTTATTAAACATGGATATTATTGTCAACTTCAGGTTTTGCGGGATATCCGAATATAGGCAGAACAAATGCATTTGGAGCCGATTTTGCAACCGCTTTCAATATCGGTGCAGTTGCTCCTGCAACCACTGAAACTAATGGTTTGCTATCTTTTTGAAAATGATTTTTTATTATCTAAATGACAATAATTATATGAAAGCATTGACTTGTTTATATTTGTACATATGTAATATCAAATAGTGTGCACTTACTGCTCTTTATTCTTTGTTTCGTCTTGCATGCGCAGTGCAAAATATAATACGAGTTCTTGAACATTCTAAATTCACTGATATTAATTTTTTTGTTTAAATCATGCATTGTGCTTTGATAATTTGATATACACTATTGAAAGATTTGTTGGAAATTTAGCTGTATTTTGTTATGCACAGTTTTCTTTTTCTTTCTTTCTTTATTATTTTTTTTTTTTTTTTTTTATTAATGGTTGTTTATATTTAGTCGAGAAGCTTTTTTAATATTCTATGTAAATTTACAGGATTTTCTTTGTTTACGTACATGGCAGTGGTAGTGGTAAATTGTTGTTGTCAATGCTATTTAGTTATAGTTATTACTATTTATTGTTTCCTTGTTGCTATTTGTAATGATGTTATTGTAATTGTGATTATAGCTAGAAAGATTTTGATAGTAGGATTGCAATTTATTCTATTGTTGTTAGATGTGTAAGAGATTCTTGTGCTCAAAAAAATATAGTCTCTTGCATGTTATATTGCTGTTACTATTTTTGTTTTTGTTATTTAATTTTATTTATTCTCTGCATGATTTTCATCCATTTCTTGGTTTTTTTTTCCCCCAAAATTTTTATTCCTTATTTCTTATTAATCACCATTTCTTACCTAAACGATCATCAACTACTGCAGTCGGATTCAATCCATTTCTGACTAATAATATTGTCGATTCATCTGCACCACCAGTATCTCGGCAATGGTCTGTATCATGTGAAGAAACCGATAAACAGTGGTCCGGAAAAGCTTCGCAAGATGCAATTCCGCCACAGCATTGGTCTTCCGCAGTTTCACGATCTGATCTAGAAGGTGGTTCAGCTACTGCTCCTTCTTGGAGCAAAAATGGTGAAAGTAGTGAAAGTGATGAAGCAGTTGGTGCTACGGGTACTGATATTAGTAATGTACCGCAGCAACCAAGTGAAATGGTCAATTCAGCTCTTCGAAATCCATTTGGTGCCATGCAACAAAATGCTCAAGGTAGAAATTCGATATTATATATTTGAAATTCAATATTAATTTAAGGAAAATTTGAGGTCACAATTTCTATTTTTTCTTACTTTTTTTTTTTTGATTTCTAAATAATGAAGGTAAATTTGGGTCCGTTCATGATATTTCTGTAATACAATTTTTTTGTTTATTTTAGCATTGCATACAGCTGGTGTTAGTGCTACTGTGATAACACCTCAGCAACCGGATATACCAGCATTTGGAGCACCACCATCTGGTGCATCATCCGGTTTGTTTATTTCTTCAAAATCTCTTCACTGATTTTTGC